TTGCAAGCATAATAAGAGATTTAAATTTTTTAATTGGATAGATGTTTTTGTGTACTGATACTTTAAGATTTTATGATACTGATATTGATTAATAGTATACGTATTTCAGGCATCAAACAAAATATACATGTTGTTGTTTTTTTTTTTGTTGTTTTTTTTAAAACAGCTCAATAATAAATGTACACATCTACAAATATTGGTGTTTAGATAAACGACAGTCTTAAGTCCTTTACTCTGAGATAAATTCTTAAAATGCATAAAAACGAAGGAAAATGTAATGCAAGAAAAGGAATGACTCCATTATATTATACATAGCAATAATTAGATTTAAAAGAAAATTACCTTTCACCATGTAATCTTTCACGTCTATTTGCAATTTTCCTCAAATCAGTTTCGCCAGTTCCAATATACAAAGAATTCTAAAACAAATATTAAATTTTAGTATCGTATGAAAACTTAAAATTGCAATCATTTAAAAATATGATATTTTTACTTAATTGCTTACAGCGTCTGATATGTTTCAAAACTTTAATAGTATATTTACTGCCTTCCAGAAATACTTTTATTATTCCAATTAAAGTGATATTGTGAAAAGTTCAATTATTTGACCAACACAATAACAAGTAGGTCTCTTTAAAAAAGTATATTTAAACTATTAAAATGTAGTTGTCAAAATCAATATAAGTTAAATTTATTGAAACAAGAATCAACAACAAACTTACAAATATTTTATTTTAAAACCGCCGTTGAACAGCCGACCCAATTTTTAGTTTACCGCTACCAATGTTCAACTCCATAGCCTTGTAACTTTGAACCCAATCCAGAAGACTAGTAAACTTCAGGATCAAGTATTGGGAGAATTTAACTCATTGGAAGGCAAACGCTCTATCCCCTGACCACTTTATTATTTATACCACATTAAACATAAAATCTTCCACAAAATGCGGTAGAGTTAGCAATTATGCATTACATATGTGGAAAATCAGAAGTCGTAACTTTTATCAAAGATACTTGTGAAAAAACACATTTTTTTAGTATTAGTATCATCCTCTGTCTTATATGTACATCATGTTGCAGATAAATATATTTTTTGTTACTTATCCCTCAACTAATCATTTCACATTTAAGTAGTTTTCTTTCTTAATTAAACGATATAGTATTATAAGTAAAATACAAAACATATTTTGCCTTGTTTTTACGTAGCTATCATACATATGGTCATATTTAGATATATTTGAACAGTAACTGACACAGATGAATAGACTCTTGAAAATGTCCTAAAAAGGTGTTCCAGAGAAGGTGTTTCGCAAAATCCCAGGATTCCGCAGAAAAGTCCCACGGGCACCAAAAAATAAACATTTCCTCAAAACCATTTAAGATTTTTGAAATCTGTAAATATATATTTAAATCCAATATCTATTTAATATTTAGGCTATTCTTACTAAATTGTATAAATAAATTGTCAGTGAAAAGAGATGCTTTTGCAAGAATATTTATTTCTAATTACAACATATTAAATAAATTATGAAAAATATTAGCATTTATGAAAATATTTGCAGTAATATTTCTCAAACTTTTCAAAATTCCACAATAAAGAAATGTGGTTCTTTAACAACCATTCTAAACATTTATATTTATTCAATGCCATTATTTATTTTTATTTTTAAAAAAAAACTATAATTCAACTTATTTTATTCGTTTTAATCTATTTAATACACTAGACAAATTCAGAACTAGACTATAACACGGCACTCCAGAGCTCTGAATTCAAATGCCTAAGCATAAAATCTAATTTTAAAAAATATTACATATTAAAGGATGAAAATATTGATATTAAAATTTCAAGAATATTAACAGTGTTTCTTTGATTAGGTTTTCAATTGCTTATGAACTTTAATTCATTATTCTGCCGAAAGAAGATCAATCACTTAGGATACTGCAGTCAGAAAAAAATTGGAACAACTGGTTTAAAGGACCATAAACTGGAAGACAGTTTACTGCAAAAGATTTGCCTTTAGAGAATTAAGTGAGAAAACTCACCTATGTCAAAGCCCTAAAGAAGTATATTAATTGAGAAATAGAATTATAGCACTAGGTATAAAGATTCCTTACATACATTTTAAAGTGATGGATTAATTTATTTAAATATTAAGATAATGCATCAATATATTATTAAATTTAGCATTAATATATATTTGAAATTAAACATCTTCGAGGACACACTTCATTTTTTAAAAAAATGAAAATTTGATTATTGAATTACTGCTTTTTATTTGCTTATTTAAGATCAGGTCGAACTAAAAACTAAAAATGTAAGTTAAAACATTGGCTCTTAATGCAAACAGAGATAATTACTTCTCAGGGAAAAATTCATCATTCCTGAACTGCAGGTTTCTGATTTCTTTGAATTAAAAGGTTTACTATTAATATTTTTAACGTTTCATTTTGACATATTTGATTGAGAATATTTTTATTTAAGCTGCTAGCTTTGTTTCCTATTTTTCTGTATACTAGTTTTGTTTGTTGAAAATTTATACGTACTCAATGCACCATGTTTTTGAATCAGTACTAATAATTTAAATACATAATTTTAGTATTTTAGTTTAGTAAAAATTTATTGAATTAAGTACTTAAAAAATCAATATTTATTAAATTAAGTACTGAAATTATTGCGAGATTATTTATACGACAAACAAAAGTACAACAAATACCTTTTATTCTCCAGTTTGGATCTGAAGTCATCGGCTGAACAGTTTCATTCATCAGTAACAGATAATTTTTAGAATCCGATGTGTGTTTCTTTATAACCTCCACACTAAAAAACCAAAATAATTTATATGAGCAAATGTGTTATAATTTGCCCGAAATATATTTCAAATATTGCAATTCAATATCAAAATTATCAATATTGAACGAGTTTTTCAAATACTAATTGATTGCCTTTGTGGTATTTTCCAATTTGTATACAATAAACAAACATTAGCTTCCCACAATGATCAGCATCTTCGGCAGGGGATTTGGCCAGGAAGTCAGCCCTCTCATTCCCATCAACCCCAACATGTGAGGGAATCCACTGAAAGTGTATAGAATGGTTGGATGAAAGCCTGTCAATTAGGTCTAAAATATCAAGGTTGGTTTGATCTCCGATGCTGGATTGAGGCACGGCTATCAGTTAATATCTATATATCTTGAAAATGATCTGCCCGAGCTGGAAATTGCAAGCCCTTTCTGATAGCAATAAGCTCAGAACTAAAAACTGAACTGTTGTTGGGATTTTTGATCTTGCATATTTTTACAATAAAAATTCGTTTAATCTTTTTTTGAAAATAATCTTTTGATCTTAAAGATTTATCTAAAAGCCAAAAACGCTATGAAGTAAGTTTTTTTTTTGTAACTTTTACTGATTTTCTGTAAAAGTAATTTTCTGTAGAAATGTTATGACAAAATTCATGACATTTTATTTATTTTTTCGCTATAAAATGTGAAAATAAAATTTAATAAAATTATAAACATTTATAATAATTAAATCAGTTTTTTTAATCCATTAATTGTTCTTTCCAAGTGGAACAAAATTTAAGTAGTCGCAAATAAAAAGTAGTCGCAATATTAAAATATTTTAAAATATCAATAATATTCTTTCATTAAAAAAACAATGCCGATTGATATGATTAAAAAAATTATTTTACACTATGCATGTAATTTCATTTGGAAGCATGGAGGAAACATTCTAATACTTCAACTGAATTTATTCAGTTATGCTTAATATGTAGGCTTTATGAACAAACAAATGACTAACAGATAAATATTTTGATTCTTATTAATAGTTAAAAAAGGCACTGTTTTTATAAAATTCATAAAATCAATAAAAATAATTTATGAAGAATTTCCAAAATCAAACTCTAATATTGTTATAAAGTGTAACAATAAAATTTGTTGCAAAAAGCAACAAAACAGTATAATTATAACAGCTTTCATTCTAGTAAATTTATAATTACCTTTCTCCATCAGACTTTCGTGGCTTTCAAGGGATCCTTCGAGGAAGACCTCTTTCTCGCTGTGGTTTGACTTTCTGATGTCATCATCCCTTAAATAATACATTGTTTAGATATATGTAACTACATTGCAAAAACTTTAAACAATATGTAAATAACTACCTGAAATTTTAGGCTGTAAAATTATTTGATAAATATATTATTTCATTAATTTTATAAATTAATTTCATAAACCATCTAATTTTTTACCACATTTATTTAGCCCATTAAATGTCCCCACATAAAAACAAAGAACAAGTAACAATTTTTTTTTAATGTTTTGAGGTTCGAAATATGTTTATGCATACTTAGTGAATCTTTATTTTTCTTTGAAAATATTAAGTACCAAATTAAAAGTTATAAAAACTTTTGACATTCTGACAACCCTATCAAAAAAAAAAAAATATTCATTTTTGAATTTCAAACATTCTCATGAACAAAATGTCTCATTGTCCATTTTTAAAATTACAGATTTCATCACAACTAAAAATAAATCATTTAAAAAAGCTAGATAAAAACATTTTTAAATTTTACGAATCAACTTAAGAAAATTTAAAATAGAAGCTTTAAACAGAGAAATAGAAAAAATATTTAAGAGAAAAAAATGGTAATAATGGTATTTTAGCTTACCAATTTAATTTTTTTTCCTGGCCAGGTTGTTCTTTGAGCAACCTTGTTCCATAAGAATACCAGCACTTATTTCCCTCATTATCACATCCTAATGTTTGGGATCTTTATATATCTGAATCCATATTCTAAAAATAATAAAGAGCAAACAAATAAATAAATGCAAAATCATGTGTTATGATAATTCATTCGGAATAAAATCAAATTTTGAAACAAAATTCCTAAAAAAAAATTTTTTTTTTAAATCTGTAATATTTGTTTATTTTTAAATTTGAAAATGTAATTTCTAAAATACACCGCTGTTTATTTACTCTTAAAATGTTAGTTATAATTTGTAGCAAAGCTTAAAGCAAGTAGCTTCTCTGCAGTGTCAATGAAAATTGGGAATTAGGATAGTTACATATTTGCAATTTTTGAGAAAGATTGTTGTTACATATATTTGCAAAAAAAAAAAATTTAAATTTTTCAAAGCAACTATGTTATTGTTACAGTAAGCTTAGAGTAAAATAGGTTTAATTTCATTTCTTCTTGAGTACTTTTCCTAAACAAGCAATTTACAACTCTCAGTTATTTTTCCTAGATGGTAGCAAAATGCGCAAAAGCTTCTTATTGTTTACATGAAAATCATTGTGTTTTTCCCTGAAAATGCTTTGCAGGAAAATTTTAAATCTGTGACTTATCAATATACATAACTGTCATCATGGATCAGAAAAAATCCGGTAGATCTTACGAAATATAAATTTCATGATAATTGTTGCATAATGTACTAGATACACATAAGGAATTTTTGGGATTTTTTTATATTCATCAAAATAGAAAAACTGCAATATTTTCCAGTTATGATTGATATTAAAGATGCTTGAAATGTTAAATATTAAGTTAACTCATAATTTTGAATATTAATAGGCATGTAATTCATAAAAGATAGTTAAGATTTTTTTAATCAATATAAAAAGAGAGTTCTGAATAAAAATAAACAAAACATTTAAAAAAAAAAAGTTTTGAACTGATTTCTATAGATGAGGTTTGTGTCATTATGAATTAGTAATACTTATTTTAATATTCAAGCAAGTAATAATCTGTTCAGAAATTCTATTTCAGTAGGGATTTTTTTTAAGAAATATACTCAATTTTAGGGAATTTTCTAAAATACACAAAAACTAGCATTTTCACAATTTTAATTAAACCAATAGACCAGGAGAAACAGGTAAAATCTAGTAGATTACTACAAAATCCAGTAGAGTTTGCAGCTATGATTATATTATATCAAGCCATTTAAAAGCACTCATCAGGAACAATTGGTTTCCTTTCAGGATTTTTAACCTTTTGACTATAAACCTCAACTCAACTTATAGCAAGGTCTGACTACATCCCTGCGCAACAAATTGTTTTTTTTTCCAACAATTGTGGATAAGCACTATTTGGCATGGAGATGTTTTAAATGATTGCTACATTCCTTCGTTATAAATCTACAATGCAAAGTTATCTTACTGCAAGGCATGGTTAGATAGAACATTTATATATTAGTCCATGCAAACTTGTGACTAAAAAATATTACTAGTTTATACACATTTACAATGGTACACACTTACATACAACTATTTAATTTCTTGTTAACAAAAAAAAAGTTAATAAAGTGTGTTTAAATGAAAAATTACTATACAGAAAGTGTGTGACGTTCACAATTATGAAATATGATATTTTGAGACAATAACACAAACCAAAACATGAAACTGAAATTCAATCATCATAAACATCATACTATTTCTTTACATCATGTCTTGTTGAACTGGGGGACCTTATATTATATATGATGTTCCAAGTCAAATTTAGTTCCATACATAGTTTAATAAAACCATAAACCATCACAAAAATTATATTTCAATGAAATTTCAATTCAATCTATTATAAGCATAATGTTTTAAAATTCTAACAAGTTTAACTGCAACTCAACGTCTACAAAACTAAGAACCCTAGCAATTAAACTTTATAGAAATTTACATAGCAACAGAACAAACAGAAAAAATGCAGAGTAAGAATAAAGACTAAAAAATTTAAATTATTTTTGTACCTTCATGGCTTCTGCAGCATCATTTCCATCTAGGCATTTATGGCATAAAAAAAAGTAGTGCAGATATCATAATCAGCTTGAAATTAAGAATCCAAATCCCAAAAACAGGTAATGATCTTGCAATCCAGAATATCTGTAGGAACTATCTTCTTGTAAACTGAGATCCTCCAAAAAACTATCCTTTGTATCGAAACTCACCAGTCGATCTGTTTTTTTTTAAAGTTCAAAGTATGGTTCCGGCAATGGATTACCTNCTGACTTTCAAAGATACATAGACAGCAGCACCTGACTTTCAAAGAGACAGAGACAGCAGCACCCGACTTTCAAAGATAGAGACACTAGCAAACCCGACTTTCAAAGATACATAGACAGCAGCAAACGACTTTCAAAGATACATAGACAGCAGCAAACGACTTTCAAAGATACATAGACAGCAGCAAACGACTTTCAGAGATAGAGACAGTAACAAACGACTTTCAGATATAGAGACAGCAGCAACCAGACTTTCAAATATAGAGACAGCAGCAACCCGACTTTCACAGATAGAGCCAGCAGCAACCAGACTTTCACAGACAGAGCCAGCAGCAACCAGACTTTCAAAGACAGAGACAGCAGCAACCAGACTTTCAAAGATAGAGACAGCAGCAACCAGACTTTAAAAGATAGAGACAGCAGCAACCAGACTTTCAAAGATAGAGACAGCAGCAAACGACTTTCAAAGATACATAGACAGCAGCAAACGACTTTCAAAGATACATAGACAGAAGCACCCGACTTTCAAAGATACATAGACAGAAGCACCCGACTTTCAAAGATACATAGACAGCAGCACTCGACTTTCAAAGATACATAGACAGCAGCAAATGACTTTCAGAGATAGAGACAGCAGCAAACGACTTTCAGAGATAGAGACAGTAGCAAACGACTTTCAAATATAGAGACAGCAGCAACCCGACTTTCACAGAAAGAGACAGCAGCAAATCGACTTTCACAGACAGAGACAGCAGCAACCAGACTTTCAAAGATAGAGACAGCAGCAACCAGACTTTCAAAGATAGAGACAGCAGCAAACGACTTTCAGAGATAGAGACAGTAGCAAACAACTTTCACATATAGAGACAGCAGCAACCCAACTTTCACATATAGAGACAGCAGCAAACCGACTTTCAAAGATAGAGACAGCAGCAAACGACTTTCAAAGATACATAGACAGCAGCACCCGACCTTCAAAGATACATAGACAACAGCACCCGACTTTCAAAGATACATAGACAGCAGCACCCGACTTTCAAAGATACATAGATAGCAGCACCCGACTTTCAAAGATACATAGACAGCAGCAAACGACTTTCAAAGATACATAGACAGCAGCAAACGACTTTCAGAGATAGAGACAGCAGCAAACGACTTTCAGAGATAGAGACAGTAGCAAACGACTTTCACATATAGAGACAGCAGCAACCCGACTTTCACAGATAGAGACAGCAGCAAATCGACTTTCACAGACAGAGACAGCAGCAACCAGACTTTCAAAGACAGAGACAGCGGCAACCAGACTTTCAAAGATAGAGACAGCAGCGACCAGACTTTCAAACATAGAGACAGCAGCAACCGGACTTTCAAAGATAGAGACAGCAGCAACC